AGATGCCACCTGGCCTCTGCTCCCAGTCAATTTTCTCTCCATGTGGGTCATTCGAGGACTGCGGCGTCAGTCGGCTTATCTTCAAGTCGATCACCACCTTGTCAGATGCGAGTAGTTCCTCTTCCTTCTTCCGTTGGAATTGTACGTAAGCACTGGACGTCCACCCCAAGCGCAGATAGAGGTCCTTTTCAATTCTAGACCATGCCTTCGGGTCGGCCTTGCAACTGGAAAAAAGGCTGAGAGAAGAGCAAGTGACCACGGTCACATCGGTAACGACGTAGCCAGCATAATGAGTGGGAAGGTGGCCATGGATGGACGCCGGTAGAACACGGAATTTATTGTCTAGAACCACCACAAGAAGTAATGCAATTGAGGCGATGATAGCGAGCTGCACGCCCGTCCGAACCTATTATCATCGAGAACATTAGCAGCGAAAACCTGAAATAATCGACTCTCAACGAGTGATCCATACAAGCCGGCGAGTCATGTTAATGAAAGGAGCCCCTGGTGATCTTCGAGCGGATGGTAAGCAGCTGGACGCTCAAGCATGATGGGGCACACGATGTTATAAGATGAAAGCAGGCCACACCATGGACAAGACCTGATTACCGTCAGTCCATCTCAAGGGGGCCAAATCTGGGGATGGAAGAGTCGATTGTCCGAGCCCCCGTATTTGTAGCACTAAGAAACTCGAGTCCGGAAGGCGGTCACATGTGAACTAAAGTTTATCATTACCTCTTGATTCTCGGCCTTTTGAAGTCCCTGATCCGCGGGCCCTCCTGGGTCTAAGCCTATTTGGGAATTCTTGATGAAGCCTTCCTGATTGGCCAGTCATGGTTGTTCTCAGCACTTGTCCGATGATATCTTAGGCCAGAGAGACTCATCTAATCAATTTTCTATACAGCCATCCCTCTCTCTATATATGTATAGATATTATCGGAGGATATTCCCCTTGTCTATTGAAAATCCAAAACCAGTCGAAGAAATCCAACGTCTCCCGGATCTATAGAGCGGCGGTGAAATCACGTCAATTGTCTTCATGCACCTTTTTCAGTCCTTCTTCAGCCACTTTCTTCAATGATACCTTGCCGCTCAGAATGTCTTTTGTAGTGGCCAGGATCGTCTCCCAGCTTTCGAACGTGGTGAATGGCATTCCTTCCTTTTCGCAGTAGGTCACCAGATCTGAATTGGGATTAGCCGCATACTGGAAGATCGAAGGTCCAGGGGAGTTTTTGCTTACCATGCCCCTTTTTGGCAAAAAGAAGGTCAGTCTCTGCGGCAGCAGACAGATCGGAGACACCATCTCCAGCATAGAGCAGAGTAGGACGCTTGTCGACCGGCAATGCAGCGTACGGCTTGATCTCCAAGGATTTGTCATGTCCGAAATGACTATCGAAGGCGCAAGTTAGGTTCTAGAAGCAACATTTACAATCCGAGTCTTTGGTGTCCTCACCTGTCATCGTGGTACTTGATCTGCCAGCCGCCTGCGGTGTTGATGTCCTTGCCGTCGCGGCTCTCCACATCGTTAGAAACAATGTGCAAATGGCTTCGAGGCTTGTGTCCCAGCAATGACTCGAACAAGGCACTAATGATGGGCTTCATCCCCGACGACAAGACCACAATTGGAACGTTGTTCTCCTCGGCCCAGTAGTAGAACTCGACAAAGTGGGGGTCAAGTTTCATGTTCTCCTGGAGGATCTCGATGCACTTGTTGAAAGGCGTCTTGACGCTGTCCAACATATCGCGGAAGGCATCACTGTAGAACAGTCGAAGAAGTCAGCGGACGCCTTCGTTGGAGCAATGTCATGCACTTGCACATACCGGAAGCTAGCTCTGCCGTTGAGCACATCGTAATTCCCTTGGCGACGTTTTTCTCGTCCGTATCCGAGATTGTCGGTCTAAATATATCAGCCCTGAGACGCCAATTCGGGTTTCAGGTCAGAAGTTTACCAGGAAATCATTGCCTGAGATTCAATGGCGGACAATTAGCTTCTGATAGTATAGTTCAGAGCGTGGTGGGCTTACTATCCGCGAGTGTAATGGTCCCATCAAAGTCAGTGAAGAAGATGATTTTGGGATTGGTCTTCATGTAAGGGAGTTCGGTGAAACCCATTGTAACACTAGGTAGTCCTTGAGTACGATGAAAGCCTAAATACAGACAGAGTTATGGTAAGATGCTAGCTCAGTGATGCAGATGATCTCAATGGAGACCCATGTGAGAGGGGAGACTACCAAATGGCACACAAATTGGCTGGTAATTGAGTGTAAGACTGAAGATTGCGAGGTTGAATCAGGGTGATAAGTAGATGGCTCAATGGATTGAGATCATGAATCGAAGAAGTGAAAGAAAGATAAGCGTCCCATGAATCATCCCGCGGGGGTGGGATCAACAATTATTACTGCCCCGCGCATCGGTTATAATGAACTAAACTCAATTTGATTCGGCCTCTTCACTTTACTTGCTTCACCGTTCACTTTTAAGTACTGGTGAAAGAATTCAGCATGATTATTGGGTGGTTTTTCGATGCTCTTCTGGGCCAGTTAATGTGGGGTGGGAAGATGGAACTCCCCCAGTCCCCACGCGCCCCTGTTTTGATAAGTGGACAGAGATAGAGAAGTGCCGATAGCGACCAAGTCCGATAACCGTCAAAAAGTTTTTGATTCTGGCCATTGCCAAACCCCCCCGTCGCAATTGAACAACTGTTTTTTCTTGACTTTGCCCTGATTCTTCTTAATTCTTCCTCTATTAGCTAGCAGTGTTGGATGGCTCGTCTTTTTCAATCTCTGCGCCGAGCCTTGGGGCTGACTCCCTCTAAACCCGTTCCCAAATTTTCGGGGTCAATTGACACGAATTTTTCCTATTTTAGAGGTACAGCCGATTCAGATCGTCAATACCTCATTGTGCCTGTGTATACTGATAGATATCATGTCAGAGGGGGACAGGGTTGTTGTTCATGGCAAAACTCCATCCTTAACAAAGCCCCTTCGAAGAGGGCAGAAGACCGATGTGCGACGAGGAGTACTGCAGCACGATAGCATCATCGGCCAGCGAGTACGAGATCTTGTCAAGGCACATAAGGGTAGGTCAATTGAGACTCTTGGCCGCCAGGAATATATAACTAATTGCCCGTCGCAATGCAGGCCCTGACTACCGACTCAGCCTTCCGACCCTCGACGAATATGTTTCCATGACCCCCCGTCTCGTCACACCAGTATGAGATCAATTGCCATTGCTCTATAATCCACACTCCTACTCACGAACGTCCCAGTAGATCTATTCCGCCGATGCCAACTTAATTGTCTCCCTCCTCGATATCCACGTCACTCCCCCGGCAGAAGGATCCCAGGAAGAGCCACCATTGGAGATCCTCGAGTCTGGCACGGGTCATGGCTCCCTCACTCTACACCTCGCGCGCGCGATCCAAGCAGCCAACTCAGTTCCACCTCCTCTTCCACAGAAATCCCAGATTCAATACCTCCAAGGCCGACCGATCCGGCCCGGAACCGACGCGGAAAAGGCAGACCCCAAATCAAGCAGCACCTCCGCCCGAGAATCACCAGACGAGTCCGTCGAGCAGCATACTCAGCAACAACAACAATGGGACACCTGGCGCGCCCACCGACGAGCCATCATCCACACCGTAGACGTCTCCCCCAAATTCTCCGCCCACGCCGAGAAGATCGTCCGCGGGTTCCGCCGTGGATTGTACGCCGGCAATGTCGACTTCTACGTCGGCCACGTGGAGAACTGGATCGCTGAGCAGAAGAAGGCTCGCGCTTCGAGATCCCTCCTCTCGAGCGGCCCCACAGTCGAGCCGTTCCTCTCCTACGCTATCCTCGACATGCCCTCCGCGCACCTGCGCATCCCCCACGTCGCCCCCATCCTGAAACGAGACGGCATCCTCGTCGTGTTCATGCCGAGCGTGACCCAGGTCGGCGACTGCGTGGACCTCATCCGGCAACAAAAGCTACCATTCATCCTTGAGAAGGTCGTGGAGCTCGGCTCCGGTATCAGCAGTGGTCGGCTCTGGGATGTGCGTTTTGCCGTGAAGAAGTCGCGTGCGGACCCGTCCTCATGGACTGAGGCCGCGGACTCGGTGGAGACCGAGGAAGACTCTTCTGACGCCGGTGTAGAAAGTGCACCTGCTGCTCCTGAAGAAGCTGCGAGGCAAGAGGATAGCGTGCTGGTCTGCCGACCTAAGGTCGGGACCAGGATCGTAGGCGGAGGTTTCGTCGGCGTGTGGAGAAGGATAGAAGATTTGGCGAAGGAGTAGCCTGTTTTGCCTGTTTCTTGGATGAGGAACATGGCAGGATACCCATCTGAGACAGATATTGCATTGCAAACCCCTCATCCTCCTGCACTGTACAATACACACTAGACTAGAAATGTATACTACCTTCGTTCCTGACTTGTTTCTAAGCCTTAGGCGGTACAACGTCGTTCAGTCATTCAGTGAATCTCACTCACTTATCGCTACAATCACACCAGCAATTGAAAATCCAAAGAGCAGCAGGCCGGTCCTCTCGCTTCAAGAGGCCACGGCGTTTATTCATGGATGGAGTAGCGAAATCACGAAAGACGTACACGGCAACGATGAACCCCATTCGCCTAGATTGAGAAGATGAGAAAAAAACAGGGCGATGTTCTTCCGTTACTTCAAGCCGCATTCGCTGCCTATGGAGTCCATGGTGACAAGGAACGGCAGAGTTGACAGGGAAGCAGCACTCGAGAAGACACCAAAGGCCCAGAAGATCCAGGAGCAGAAAAGGATACCGCACAATTGACTAATTTCCAAGAACATGACAAGCGAGTTCAATTGAGCAAGTGCCCTCGGTTGACAGCAAAAGCAAGGAATGAAACCACACAAAATGTAGAAAACGACAGAGCAAAGCAAATAACAACACCAGAGATACACGAGAGGACCCCAAAGTTTCCGAAAGAACAAGACAAACCGGCTACACAAACACCAGTCTCATGACGTTCAACATGCTCCATTCCCTCAATTCCGTTGCGGCCCAAAGTCCGCCTCCACAACCTTACCCTTTTTCCCTTTAACTGTAAACTCCGCCAGCAATGCGATATGATCACTTGGAAAATGATAATTGGGGAATCCGGGCACCCTCTGTAGATAGTCCTTGTCCACCTCTCCGAGTAACGCCGAAACATGAAGCGAGTTTGAAGAATACCAGATATAGTCAAGGATATCTTTGAAGTCTGGCGTGTAGTTCGTGAAGGGAAGTTCGCCAATAGCTCCATATGCGGACTTCAGCTTGAAGGGATGTGTCATACCGACTTTGCTGAGATTGCCGTAAAGACGCTTCTCCAAATCCGGGTGCTCCTCATCCAGCCGACCATGCGCAATCAGATTGTATGCTGCGGACCCCGGAGACGAGTTCAAATCTCCACACATCAGGAGAGGGATCTGTTCGCCACTGGCATACTGCACAGATGGCGCCGGTTCCTCCAGGGGTGGCGTTTCTGACTGTCCCTCCTCTTTGGAGAATCGGAAAGCCGCCTTGTCGGTGCACGCGGGCCATTTGGCATACGTATCCGACAGCTTGGTGAGTTCTTCCATCAGAATAGCCGTCTGTATCAGTTTCACATCCTTGAACGCTGGGTCCCAGTAGAGGTGGGCATTCACGACAATGAAACGCGAGCCGGTTTGCCTGTTTTCAAGAAATACGACAACTGCAATATGATCCTTCTGCCATAGTCGGTTATAGATGTCGTCTTGACCTTTTGCATCTGGGCGCCTCACGGCTGTCTGGCCAAAATTGATCAGCTGTTTGTCGAGAAGGATGAACTTGCTGCCCTTAAAGAAGGTGGCACATCCATCCACACATTTGGCGTCCTCCTCCTGCATCCCCATAGCCCTTCCTCGTGGCCAGTAAACACCCTTGTAATCATTGTAAGCCAGCTGTTCTCGGAAATATTCATTATAGCTTCCTTGGTCGATTTCCTGAAGACAAATGATATCCGAATCGTGAGACCTGAGCTCGTTCAAGATGAGCTCCCTTCTAAACTCCCAGGATAGAACGCGAGCTGGAGCGTAGCCGTAGTGTGACTGAGTCGCGGAGGAATCACAGAGTGTGTTGTATGACAAGACAGTAACTTTGTCAGTACGATGGTTCGAGGAGCTGGCGGTTTCGTCGAGGACAATCCAGTCCCGGTCCGGGGGTGGGAGGTGAACTTCCATCAGTGTCAGTATGTTTGTGCAAGAAAGCAGGCTTAAAATAATTGCAATTCTACTAACCTGGCATCTCTTCCTTGAGATATTTGATCAAAGCTTTGGTACCCTCTTTCATGATGTGGGACTTCAAGACATCATTCAGAGGGTTGCCCTCAACACCGAGTGTTTCCAGCCTGTAAAGGTAGCCCATCTCGTAAGGAAGTGTGCGGATATTGTTGTCGAACAGGTAGAGCTTCTTCAGATTCGTGAGCATGCCGATCTCCTCTGGAAGCTCGGTGAGGTCGTTGCCTGACAGGTCCAGGTGATTTAATTTTCGAAGTTGCCCGATGGTCGGTGGGAGGGCTTTCAGCTTGTTATGATTCAAATACAATTTCTCCAGGAAAACATAGTTGAATAGAGACGTGGACAGCGCGCGCAGTCCCTGTCCGCCGAAATCCAAGGCGTGCCAACCCTGCCGTGAAGATGTCTTGGCCTTGACCACCCCGTTCTGCCCGTCGGGGACTTGTTCTTGTGTCTCCGGTTGGCTAGGGGCAATCTGGATGCCCTTAGCTTGTTGCGCGACAGACCGGGCATGATAGTGGGGAGAGCTGGCCTGCCGTGATTCCGCGGCCAACTGAAGTTGTTGCTGCCAGTGCTCATTCATCGATTCGTCAATATCTTCGTCAACATTAGTGTGAGCCCCATTTTGTATGTGGCTCGGGGTAAAGTGGGGAGTCGCGGAAGCCAATGCCCCGCTCGAGAAGTTGTGTTGGTGGTTGATGTTGTGTGAAGCTTGATTGTGATGCGTGTGATGATGTTGCTGCGTATGGTGCGGGTGATGACTCTGCGACTGAAACTTGGGGATCTGCATGCCAAACCGTTGATGGGCTTGGCCGCCATTCATCATGACATGCTGCCCTTGATGAGTTTGGCTGTACATGTTGAATGGATTGAGAGCCGCGGCCTGACTGAGAGGAGGAGATCGGGAAGGTGAGGGAGTATCGTGGTTGAACTTCAGTCTTCCAGTGGGTGAATTCGTCCCGTTCCGTGCGATGTGTCGTTGGTGAGAGTGCTGTTGTGCTTGCGTTTGAAAGAAGAACTGCCCGGCCCCAGGCTGCTGGAACCTGTAGGTACCATCTGCCATTTAACGTGGCAGATGAAACCGTGAGCGGGTTGCTTGAAGCGAGATTGTGAAGATGCTCCGAGTCGACGACGCAGGGCTGAGAGTAGCAGAGGGAGAGAAAGGAGGAGTCGAGGATCGAATAATGCGGTCTCTCCTTCTCTTCAACATGGGGTCCTGAAGCGGAACCGCCCCCTAGATAGTCCTTCCGAAGTATTGACTGCAGCGGAATTTACCACAAACAGCCTCCTTCCAGTCTCTAATATTCGCTAATCTGCCGACCGAGCAAGCGATGGTCAAACGATAGGGGCGGAAGAGCGGGCGGGCGAACGAGTCACAAGCGCTGAGGGAGGAGGTCCCGGGCAATGAGCCTGTACCAGATGGCTATCGAGGTTCCAAAGTGTAAATGATCAAAGGAGATTGGGAAATGCGAACAAGTATCTTTATCGATTGATGAAGTAGAAGCATCAAGGGTCTGGTCGAGATGGCAGTCTTGTCGCCTTGATGCTGCGAAGTGGTTTGCATCGAAGGCGGGAGTCGATTGTCACGTGATGTTATGCCGGAGAACATGATTCGCCAACAATGAGAGTGCCAAGCCCAGCCCGACACGCCAAATCTCCAACTTTCCCCTCGACACTTGGCTTCAGATCTTGAAGTAGATCGCATCAGCGCTATATTAATTTGTTAATGGGTCTCTTCAGGTTGTCAGAGCAGTTGAGCCGCACATATGAACTTACTCAGACGAAAGCGATTATCGAGGCTGTTTCCGCATCGAAGACTCCGGACTTGTGCTGCACTACTCCATACGTCCGCGATTCTGGTCCAGTATGCTGGCCAACAATTTCTGGAAGGAAATGTCACTGTCATCCTGGAAGACATGCTTATCAATACAATGAATAATCTGACGATTTCGTCTCATTCTGCAAGCATATATGCTGTTTTTACGATGTTATAAACATCCTACTATAGCCTCTTCTGTGTTTCCAGTACACCGTCGTGAGCTGCTTAAGAGCGCTTTATACTTGATCGGCCTTTCCTGGTTTTATGTTTGCTTACGACAGGGGCCACAGTGCACCATCATCGACCATCGAGAACAGAGGCCGACCTACGATGCTCAGACGGCCGCCACCAGTTCGCTTCACCGTAGTACTTGCTGACCACGGATGTACTTTGTTTCAGCTTCAGCGTCGCGTGAACAAGAACAACTGTACTATGTGCTAGCTGCAGAGGGGATAAGTTTACTATTATCCGAACTTGCTTTGCAAGAATGGAAATACGGTTGGACTTTTGCTAGTTGTGAATCCTTCAGCTGCGCAAGGACGTGCAGTTGATACATACATGTACGAGACAACTGTACTCAAGGGCTGCAGCTGATATCAAGTCCGGAAATGGTACGCCATAATTTGACTGGACAACTAAATATGATGGATAAAACAGCGTGCAGATGGCGTAGTCATCTGTTGGATCAATGACAGGAAGAGACAGACAATTATTGCACATATTTGATGATTGTTAGCACCGAAATCAGCGACAGCAGAAACTATCATGATTAAGGAGACGAGGACAACCCGAGTCGTCAGTCGGCCATGTTGATCGCCTTCAGTATGCCAAGATAAGTCAAGAATTGGAGCAGCATTCTTCATTCGGAATGTCTGCCTTGAGATGGGGAATCGTAACCCACGGTATATGATAATTCTTCGGGGATTATTTGATCAACTTCATAATTCATCCTTCTGTTCTGAGCCCTTCAAGCTACGGAGCAAATACCCGTAGATACGATCAACCTGCCAGAAAGCTATGACAGCGCCTAGGTCCTGTTAGGTACTGGTGCTGGCGACTAGCGTACTCAGTACACAATGTGACCTGTGCAGGCACGTGTACATATTGCAACGGACCGCCACCCGTAATTCCTATCTGCAAGAGCCCATCTGCCTTGTTCGCCCGTTTTCAGCACTGTTGGATAGACACATCGGATAGAGGTGTCGGATTTTGCACCCATCTGCCATCGGATCATACTTCCTTCTGCACCACAAGTAGATAGGCTACAAGTACCCAGCTAATCACATGAAAAATAGAAGACGCTGGACAATTGCACTTCTTTCGTATTCGCCTCTCCTGGACTTTCCTCAGGTACAATTCGGTGACATTGAGACTTCCAATAAGAGAGACTAATGTCCTAAACTAGAACCACTAGTGTGACTAGACCCATGTAGGCTGTACCGTACCTACGTTAGCCTGCTCGGGAACACAGACCAAGGCGTTCTGGTTGGGCTGGGTGTCCGTTACAGTTGGCAATCTGCATTAGCAATTTTCCGTCTTGGGTGAGGGTTGGTTCAATACTTTAAATAATATTGTTATTATTACAAGGGGGAGAACTTGTTTCCTTGAAAATCTCTAGTTCAACGGCCATTCATCATCGAGTTCCTGTTCGGACGATCTCTCCTTATGGGATAGGTAGAATAGGTAGTATTACTTGTTCGAGAGTGTAGTCCGCCAGACTTTGTAGTAGTACAATGTAGCATCAATCATGAGATGATCGACTATTGCCGTTCCATTGTTTCATTTTGTGTAACATGACCGGTGCTCCTGCATCTGCATTCAACACATTTTTTTTTTTGTGTAGTTGTTTGTACTAGTGTGTAGGATGTACTTTTACTAGCAGTCCCTGCAGACTATCAATCAGTGCAGACTATCCATCTATCTACAGCCTCCATCGTCTGGAGTCTGGATATGTAACTGAGACGGAAACTCAAAATTGAAAAAAATGAGAGACAGAAAAAGAGCCCCTGATCAAATTGATGGGCGTAGGCCAGCGGGGATATCTGATTCTAGCCTACGGAGAACGTAGGTCAGGCTTGGAATTCCGCCACTCACGGAAGTATCGTCCCTTTCTCCGTTCAACACAAGGACGGGCTAAAATGAGAGTGATGACGGTGGCATCCTAGTTTTATATGAACGATAATGGTCAGAATGATTGGTCTTGATTGTGTCTTGGATGGTCTTGAAATCATGCTGATGTCTGGGACTGTTCAGTGTACTCTTCCCGTTGAGTCGTAACTACAGAGCAGTAATTTAGACGACATTATAGTTTCTCCTTTTAGTCTTTAGACTCCCGACAACCGACGAGTCCCAATCTCCCAGGAGCTAGGTAAGAAAAAACTCAGGCACTTTGTCGGAGTCATCCCAGTGGAGTTCCACTGCCGATTTTAGGGTCGTGGACCGAAGACTTGAGGCGCAATTTTGCGATGGTCTTTGCCCCCCTCCTTCTCTTCTTGTCTTCTAGTCCCATGGATCAATCTCTCATTCTCCGCAGTCCAGACTCGCTCCAACTAAGTTATCTGAGCTCTCGTTTCTTGCGTTGCCCCTCCTGTCTCGTCTCCTGCGACCCTTGATTCTCCGTCCGTTCCTACTGTCCTTAAACCATCTCCTGTTACAATGGTATAATCACTTCGCTCAATTCTCCCTCCAACAGTATATTTCGAAGGGGCCGGAATGCATATAGCTCATCGCAGAATTTCGTCATTTCTCGACTGGTGAAGGAAAAATAGAAAAATAGAGCTTCCACTTCAAAAATATGGATATCATGCCAACTACCTTCACGCCCGTGGCCTCCGGGTCCGACCTTCATTCCACCCTGAGTTCGACAGGTCCTACGTGGGCAGGCACTTCGACTTCCTCCCTCTCGTCCATTAACGACTACTCCTCCTACCCGCTCATCCGCCAAGGTGACCGCACCTATCTCAGAGACCCGGAAAATCTATACCCTTTGCCATGCGACCTGCCAGAAATTAACCGCCAGACATTGCGCTCCCTTATGCTCATTCGTGTCTTCGGGGGCCCATTTTGTACGCCATCGTTAAACGAGCAGCCCCCCAAGAGGGTCCTTGAGATCGCATGCGGGTCGGGATTATGGTCCAGTATGTGTCATGACTATTTCACCCGTCGCGGCCATCGCAACATCGCCTTTCACGGCATCGACCTCGTCTCAGTGGCCCCTGATTTGCGCAAAAAAGGTGTGAACTGGCATTTCAAGCGGCATGACCTACGCAAGCCTCGCCTGCCTTACCCGGACGATTACTTTGACTTTGTGTTCATCAAAGATGCAGGAATGTGTCCGTCTAGTCCCGCACAGCAGGCGTCTGGTCTCAGCGAACCATTGCGTGTTCTCAAATCTGGAGGAATTCTGGAAGTATGGGATTCTGACTGGGTATTTCGATCACTGCTTCCAAATCCCGCCCCAGCTCGCAAATTAGCTTCAAGAGAGCAGGAAGTCGCGGACAACACCGCGACGTATACCTTTTCGCCAGCCACACCCTTCACCGGAGCTCAGAACAAGTTTCTCCAGGATTATAATTCGTGGGTTGAGAAAGCCTTTGATCGCCGAAAACTCACTGCTATACCGTGCGCCACCATTGGGTTGTCTTTCAATGCCGAAGTTGACGTCCTTGAAAAGGTGGACAGTCGTCGTATCGCCATTCCATTGGGTGAATTGCGATGGGAACGCGAAGGGGGTCGCCCACGCAAGCAATTGACCGCGGAACAGATGTCAATCCGACGAACTGCACTTCTGACTGTTATTCAGATGATCGAAGGCATGGAGCCAATGCTCATGGAGGCCAGCGGGAAAAGTAGGGACGAGTGGGACAGGTGGTGGACCGCCATGATAAACGACCTGTTTCAAAAAGGAGGTCTCGCGAGTGGAGAGTGTCTGGAAGTGAGTGCTTGGTGGGGTCGGAAAAGGTAGGCCCGGCTTGACGAAACTTCCGATGAAGTCATAAAGAAAGAGGCTTTGGTGTTTTGGATGCCAGAAAAGTCCATCGACTATTGCTCACGATCCTTATTGGTGATACCCCAAGTCTATTTTGTGTTTTCATTTGTACATTTTCAGAACCTTCATCCAAAGTTTCAGGCAGCGCCACTGTATTTATTTATTCTCATACCGCTGTTTCAGCGTGCGGTACCGCTTCAGATAATACCTGCTTTGCTCATCAGCATCATGTCTGAAGGTTCGGGTGTGTGGATGC